GAGAGCAAGAGGTCCTGGTGCCCCCTCCACCGCTGCCTGCGCAGGCCGGGGTCTCGGTGGTGTTTTAGGGCTCTGCAAAGCCAAGTCTTTGCTTCCTCAGCTGAAAGGCTCTTCTGGGGGTTGGCAGCGCGGCGGGTCCGGATGCACAGGACAGTTCAGGTTCCTCCTCTGGGTTTCCTTGTGCAGCGAGGGCTGGATTTTGGTGTTCTGAGTTCCTGAGTGTGCGAGGGGATGGAGCTGTGCCCAGGCGGGGGGGACACGCTCCTGCCTTCCCTGCCAGGCTTTGCTTCCGCAGCTTTCTGCCGAGGCCGAGTGCAAGGATCTTTAGCCTCATGTTTTAACTTGTTTTGGGCTCTGTCCACAGCCTCTTTGACCTCCTTATTCCAGCCTCTTTACCCTGTGTGATGAGACTTCTCTCCTCTGCTTGCAGCCCTTTGGGGAGTGGTGCAACTTGCGGCCAAAAGATGCTGCCAAGATGCCCGAGAGTGCCTGGAAGCTGCTTTTCTACATGATATCCTGGTTGTATGGCATCTACCTGCTCTTCTTCACTGACTACCCCTTCTTCCATGACCCACCATCTGTCTTTTATGGTACAGTAAGAACCTGGGAGATGTGGGTATGGATTAAGATGTCCAGGTTCATAGGGTGTCTGGGTTGACCAAGGGAATGGGAGTTGGGGTGAGCAAAAGAGAAGACCAAACCCCTAAATTGCCTTTTCTATGATGCTGTGGGTATCATGGAAAGGGCACAACAGTCTCTGTTGGTTTTGTTAGAGAGTCACCTAGTGGCTATTGCAGGGGCTGGGATGTGTCAGGGGAAGGGGATCAAGTAGCTAAAGCAGGACAGAAGTGAATTACAGACTGATTTGGGTTGGAGGAGACCTGAAAGCTCATCCAGTTCCAACTCCCTGCCACAAGCAGGGACACCTTCCACAAGCCTCGTCCAACCTGGCCTTGAGCAATTCCAGGGCTTCTCTCTTAGATCTAGGAGAGAGAGTGGGTCTAAAGCCAAAGTAGAGTTTGGGAGCCAGGCACCTGCGTTCCCTTCCAGCCTTTGCCTCCGGGATGACCTGAGAGGGGCCCTGGGCACAGCGAAGGGCTGGGGCTGCTCGGGGCAGCTCTGACTGTCCTGTCTCTGCTGGGGACAGAGGCTCTGGGTTCATGGGGTGTCTGTGTCCCACCCCAGGCTGGCAGCGGGGCATGGAGGTGCCCACGGACATCGCCATCGCCTACCTGATGCAGTGCAGCTTCTACGGGCACTCGGTGTACGCCACCGCCTACATGGACACGTGGCGCAAGGACTCGGTGGTCATGCTCCTCCACCACGTCATCACACTGACCCTCATCGCCTGCTCCTACGCCTTCAGGTGAGATCCTGCCCCGGATGCTGCCCCCCTGCGCTGTGTGGGGGGGCAGAAGCTGTGGCCTGTCCGTGCCCACGTGCATCCCGTGGCATGCAGGGGTTGGTGTGGGTTCTCCCGTCCCCCCCTCACCCTGCCTGCATGGACCACAGTGCTCGTGAGCCATTGCACAATGCGGCACGTTGCTGTGTTGTGTCCTTCCAGGTCTGGGTGTCCAGGTTCTTCAGGGATTCCATCTTCTCCCAGTGTAATGGACTGTGGGTGCTGGGTGCTAACACGAACCCACTGCCCCATGCATCTCCCTGCTCCTCTTCTTTCCTGCAGGTACCACAACGTGGGCATCCTCGTGTTCTTCCTGCACGACATCAATGATATCCAGCTGGAATTTACCAAGCTCAATGTCTACTTCAAGCACCGGGGGGGTGTCTACCATCGCCTCAATGATGTCCTCTCCAACATCGGCTGCCTCACCTTCAGCATCAGCTGGTGAGTTTGGCTGATCCCGTACCGCCCCCTCCTCACCAGCTTTTGCAATCCCCCCAGTGCCTCGGGGTCCGGGGCTGGGTTTGTGAGCATGGGAACTGTTTGGGAAGAGGTTCCCTCAGAGCCTGGCCCCATGCTGGGTTTGGAATCCTTCTGTAGTCACTTTGCTGTCTGTCACCACACAAGTGCCTGTGAAATCTGGCTTGCAGCATGGCAAATGACCCCAGGGGAGGAGGAGCTGTTTCCATTTTCCCACTCGCTTGGTGTTAGCAGTAAGAAACACGCTTGCAAGAAAGAAACGGGACTTGGGGCTGTCCCAGATTCCAGCCTTGCTGTTCCTCTTGGGGCAAGGCAGGAGGGGAAAAAGGATGAATAGAGATGGGTAACGTGCAGGTTGTCTCCTGCTTTGTCCCCTTCCTCCCTTTTTGAGGAGGGGCAGCGAGAGCCCTCAGTTTGAGGGAAGGAGAGCAGCAAAGGTTTGTAGTGATTAACCAGGGATGCACAGGGCTACGTAAACCTTCCAGCTCTATTCCGCTCCCGTCCCGCTCCAGCTGAGATGATCTGCAGTGTAGACCTGCCTCTACCCTGAGAAAGCTCTTCCTCCACCCAACCTCTGGCACCAAACCTTTCCTGCCCACAGAAATGGTATCCTCCCTTCAGGAGCTGCCCTTCCACAGGGTCTCTGCGAAGTCCTGTCTGGAGCCAGAGCTGGGAGCCCAAGGCAGATGCCAAGAGCAGGGGCTGCGGGTGCAGGGGGAGTGGGCGAGGGCTGCCTGGAGGCAGGAGGTTGCGCTGGGGAAGCTGTGCTGGGTCTCTCCCCTCTCTTGGGATCCCTGTGGGATGTTAAACCCACGCTGCTCCCTCTGCCCTGGCAGGTTCTGGTTCCGTCTCTACTGGTTCCCCCTCAAGGTGCTCTACGCCACTTGCTACTCCAGCCTCCAGTTGGTCCCTAATATCCCCTTCTACTTCTTCTTCAATGCTCTGCTCCTTGTCCTCACTCTGATGAACATCTACTGGTTTCTGGTGAGTGGGGGGAGCTCAGCAACCCCTGCACTGGCTTCTCCCTCCTCTGCTGCTCCTGCATGGCGCCTGCTGCCTGTCGTGGGAGCAGCTCAGGGGACTGCAGGGGTGGAGGAGGGAAACTCATGTCAGTGCCTGGGGGGCTTCTCCGTGCTGGAATTCAGTGTGATCCATGGGGAGGGGGTGATAACAGCAGTTGTCACTGCTAGGCTGGAGCTTGATAGGGGTGTAAATGCTCTGGTGTCCCCTGGAGCCTTGGGGAGGTGGGGGGAGACTTGGAGGTCTCATGTCAGCAAGCACAACGCTGGGGTACATCCGAGCTCATCATCCCGTGGGAATGAAATGGGTTAAGGAGCGCTGAAGGTCATCAGGCACATCCCAGGGCTTTGGCCATCCCAGAGGGATCTGCCCGGCCCTTCCTGGCCTTAAGGAGAGCAGAGCAAGGTCCCGCTTAGCAAACGGGAGTGAGCGGGTAGGGAGGGACAGCTCTGCCCAGGCCTTGGCGTTCGTGGCTGACGGTGTCTCTCCCGCACAGTACATTGTCCTCTTCGTGGCCAAGGTGCTGATGGGGCAGATGCAAGAGGTGAATGATGTGCGTGAGTACGACCTGGAGGACAGCAGGAAACCCACAGCGGCCAAGAAGAGAGAGCCTGGACTCCAGCTGCCCCGTGCTCTGAAGGAAGGGTATGTGAGCAGGGTCCGGGGGCTGCGGAGGGGATGCTGCCCACCAGCACCCTGGAGCCGCTGTCGGGGGGGTCATTGCTGGGCGTGAAGATGGAAGATCTCTTGACACAGAGTACAGAGCATTGCTGCAGGCGTGGGGAAGGGCTCTGCAGCTCCATGCCAGGCACTGGGGGGGGGTCTGTCCATCTTTCTGTCCCCTGAATGCTCAGCCCCCCCTTCCCCTGCTCGCTGTGTAGGGCTGGCTCTTTGCTTGAGGCTGCTGCCTCTGAGCAGCATCTCTGCTTCATGTGGTGCCCGGCAGGATCTGTCAGAGCCTGTCAAGGCAGGTCTGACCTCAGCAGTGATGTGGGGCAGGAAGGGGGGGCAGGTCGGTGCTCATGGCCCCTGTGCTCTCCCATAGGATGCACCTCAGGAATGGACTTGTGAAGGACAAGCGGTTGTGAGGGACCCGCGGCCGGAGCTGGGGCTCACCCAGGACCCGACTCAAACCCAGCACGAGGAGAACTTCATCCCTGACACCCCTTCACCCCCTGCCCGGAGCCGGGGCAGAGGCGCC